CTCCACATTTTTTGAAGTGGACTGAAAAGTAAGAAAAGTATTTTTTATGATAGTTGGAGATGAGGTTTACTTTTGTTGAGTAAAGTTAGTTTGAGCAAATACAAATATACAAATAAAAACAACTAAAAAAATACTGATTCAGTTGTTTCCACTGACCAAAATTCAGCACAGATTTGTATGCAATTTGAAATTGAAATTATTCGACCTCAAATTCTGCACACATTTTGTTTACTCTACATGGCAAAAACTAAAATCTAGTCAAGTTAAGATGATTTAAATTAAGAAAGTTTTATCACGATTTGAGTCAATTTCACTTGACAAGTAAAATGATTTGTCAATGGAATAAGACCTTTTGTGCTTAAAATAGGAAAACACTTAAAATGAAAAAGAAATGAAATCTAACACTGCTTGAATGAAGAAAAACACACTTATTTCATCGGTTGATAATTTTTAAGTTGAATTGACTCAAATAAAGTCAAATGTTCTTAATTGAAGTCATTTTAACTTACCTCGATATTACTTTTTGCAGTATAAGTACATTTTTAAAGATTTTTTTTCAGGTGATACTTTTATTTTTGTTGCTACTTTTACTTCTTGAGAGAGAGTACTTCCTCCAGCGTTGCCTTTGCGTGACCTCTGACCTTTACCCGCTGGAGGAAGTGCGGTGGATTCTGTGGAAGGGCTGGATGACACTGGGGAGATGTTTGCAGTTGTGTCCTTAGGCAAAGCACATCTAATCAAAACCATTCATCTGATCGAATGATGTGATGACTAACGATGAGTCCATCCCTCTTTCATAATCTTTGAGTAACACTACTTCTACTTGAATGTTTAATAATAGTTACATGACTGGACAGAACATGTAATCCCCTGAAGCTCTTCAAGTGGGTTGCATCTGGATTTCTTAGGAAAACTTCAGTTCATCTTTAAAGCCCCACAGCGTAACTTTGTAGCGACAAGAACAGATTAAAATGAAAGCACGTCTCTTTTGGATGTTTTTGTGGCAGTAAAAAACCTTCCAAAACGTGTGTTGACCTGACTCCACAAACCTGACTCTTCTTGCTTGTCTCCATGAAAACGTTGTCAACCTTCACAGTTTGACATAAAACTCACCGGTCTCCACAACATTTACTGGGGGATTAAAGTCTAATAAGATCTGTGAGACTTTGATCTGAACTTTATTTAACACAATCTGATTAGAAAGAACTGATATAACTGAAAGTACAACAGGCTTTCATTGATTTCTATTTCAAGTTTATGCCAAGAGAACAGTAATCATCCACATACCACATGAGGTGCAGCTCTTATTCTGACAGACCATCACTCCAGCACACCCCCGCCCCGACATGCTGACATGCCCCCATTCCCACACTTTTCAATGCCGCCATTCAGACTATCTACTCATAGACTGGAGGGTCACCTTTTTTGTCTCGTATACGCCGTGTGGACCATGCCTCTAAACCAGGACTAAAACCTGGACTAAACCAGGACTAAACCAGATCTAAACCAGGACTAAAACCTGGACTAAACCAGGACTAAACCAGGACTAAACTGAAGACTAAAATCAGGAATAAAACCAGGCCTAAACCAGGTCTAAACCAGGATTTAACCAGGACTAAACCACACTGCGTGCACCACACCTCCTATGCCAGTCCAGGAAAATATTGTCCTGAAAAGAGCACATTCCTTGTGTGTCGGAATGACACACAAGGAATGTTAAACAAAAAACTAAAGTGCCGCCACTCCGACCCCCCCCCCCCCCCAAAAAAAAAAGTCAGAGTGCAGGGATGTTTAATAAAAATGGAAATGCCGCCACTCTGCGACATGTGCCGGGGCGGCGGCGTGTGCCATGTAAACAGACTACATTCACATTGTAAAAAGAAGAAAAACACATTTCTCAAAAAGGAGTGGGAAGAAGAAAAACTTCCATGAACCTGCTCCTGTTCATGACAAAACATTATTTGTTGATTGTTTTCGCATGTGCACTGATCACAAATATGTACATATATCAAAATAAATGACACACTATGGTCGTACAAACTGATAATAATGGTAAAGGCAGCACAGAAGTTTATTGTTTATGATCGTGCAAAATAAACCGCAGTGAGAATGAAGAATGTAAAGATTTTATTATTTTTTTCTTTTTATGGTCATACATAATAATAATGTTAACACAAGCACAAAAGTTTATCATTTATAATTGTGCAAAAGAAAAGATCACGTTAAAGAAAAGCCTGAGTTTATTCATAGTCGTGTTTACTTGTGAAGACAGTGGCTCTAGTTTTCTAGATATTTCTCTCAAACATGAGAATGTTGTGTATTTAATCCCAAACATGCCTCGGTCTAACGCTCTGCAGGTTACTCGGAGCAGATCTGACGTCACACCTCATTCTTATCGTGTTCTCAAATCTGTATTTGTTCTTCCAGAAATGTTCTCCCAGTTTATCAGATGTGTCTGACCCAAGAAGTAAACACTGACAAATAAATATTTACAGAACAGGATGGGGACTCCTCGAACCCATGACTCACGAGTGTGTGGACGTCACACAAAAGTCACATCTGTCACCATCAGCACACAAAGCACAGCCCAAACAAAGGCGCTTACAACATTTTCCATGGAAACTGAAATCTGCGCTGTTGTGCTTTTGTGTGCTCTGTAGTTCTAACCTCTGACCCCCGTGGATCATTCTGGAAGAATTTCCACACATAAATCATAATGTTCATCTGAAACCACTTTATAAAAGAAACAAGTGCGCTGACTTCTGTGTTACAAAACTGTGATGTCCAGTGGGAGCTGAGGTGGATGACGACAAAGCTCTGCAGACTGTGGTCCTCCTGTGGAGATGTGCACGTCACACGAGAGCAGAGGCTTTTTAAAAGTGTCTGTGTTCAGGTGGAGGTGAAGACAGACGTAGATCAGAGCAATGATCATTTGAAAACATGAGGCTGAAGATCAAACAACTTCAACTTGTACTACAAAACTATACAACTTGGTTTAGTCCTGCTTTAGTCCTGGTTTAGTCCTGCTTTAGTCCTGGTTTAGTCCTGCTTTAGTCCTGGTTTAGTCCTGCTTTAGTCCCGCTTTAGTCCTGGTTTAGTCCTGCTTTAGTCCTGCTTTAGTCCTGGTTTAGTCCTGCTTTAGTCCTGGTTTAGTTCTGGTTTAGTCCTGGTTTAGTCCTGCTTTAGTCCTGGTTTAGTCCTGGTTTAGTCCCGCTTTAGTCCTGGTTTAGTCCCGCTTTAGTCCTGCTTTAGTCCTGGTTTAGTTCCTGGTTTAGTCCTGGTTTAGTCCTGGTTTAGTCCTGGTTTAGTCCTGGTTTAGTCCTGGTTTAGTCCCGCTTTAGTCCCGCTTTAGTCCCGCTTTAGTCCTGCTTTAGTCCTGGTTTAGTCCTGGTTTAGTCCCGCTTTAGTCCTGGTTTAGTCCCGCTTTAGTCCTGCTTTAGTCCTGCTTTAGTCCTGGTTTAGTCCTGGTTTAGTCCTGGTTTTAGTCCTGCTTTAGTCCTGGTTTAGTCCTGGTTTAGTCCTGGTTTAGTCCTGCTTTAGTCCTGCTTTAGTCCTGGTTTAGTCCTGGTTTAGTCCTGGTTTAGTCCTGGTTTAGTCCCGCTTTAGTCCTGGTTTAGTCCTGGTTTAGTCCTGGTTTAGTCCTGGTTTAGTCCTGGTTTAGTCCTGGTTTAGTCCTGGTGTTCTGTGGAAATGAACGTTGCGCAGTCTAAATCGACAGCGATGTCTCTAGATTCACGCTGCCTCGTCCAAATAAACGACTTTAGGTTTTTCCGTGTACAGATCCAATAAAGCCAAACCCTGACCTCTGACCTCTGACCTCTGACCTCAACCTGCACATTTTGACACATACTGTATTTGTTTGCATTGGAGACGTGGGTTTGATGCTGTCTGCACACACTGATCATACTTTATACTTTAGTTCTGTCAAATCTAAAATCATTTATCTGAATATAAATGATTCTTCTGCTCAAACAGACTCCGACTAAAGGAGCACAGATCCACAGGACAATTTATCCATCCAATAATGTCCCACTGTACAATCAACATTATTCACTCATTTAGAGGAATCTGGGCAGAGCTCCTTTCCACAGGCCCAGATCTTGTCCTTGATAAAGCTCCACTAGAGGGCGACACTTCATCTCTGTGACACTGGGACACTGTGGAGACGGGACAGTTCCATGAAATTCTGTTTTATTTGCGCCAATAACAATGGACTTGTCTCTTAGTCCTGATGGACGAGGACAGAAAAAGAGACAGAAAAAACTGCAGAACATTTAAAACTATAAACACACGATCCAGAGGGAAGTTCATCCATCTGTGCCTCAGGAGCTCAAACCGACGGCATTTCAACTGTAAGAGAGATCAAACTGACAGCACACCGCTCTCAGGCCCACTATCACTTCTGATCTCAGGCCTGGTCCCAGTCCAGGTCTCAATCTCAGTCCCGGTCTGAGTCCCAGTATAGGTCTCAGTCCTGGTCTGAGTCCCGGTCTTAGTCTCAGTCCCAGTCAGAGTCCCGGTCATAGTCTCAGTCCCGATCCTGGTCCCAGTCTGAGTCTCGGTCTCAGCCTCAATCCCGATCCTGGTCCAAGTCTGAGTCCTGGTCTCGGTCTAAGTCCTGGTCTCAGTCTCAGTGGTGCTCTTTATGTTGCAGAGTGCCGAGCCAGACTCTGAGTCCCGGTCCTGGTCTCGGTCTGAGTCCTGGTCTCAGTCTCAGTCCTGGTCTCGGTCTGAGTCCTGGTCCTGGTCTCAGTCCTGGTCCTGGTCTCGGTCTGAGTCCTGGTCCCGGTCTCAGTGATGGTCTTTATGTTGCAGAGTGCCAAGCCAGAGTCTCAGTCTCAGTCTTGGTCTGAGTCCTGGTCCTGGTCTCGGTCTGAGTCCTGGTCTGAGTCCCGATCTCGGTCTGAGTCCCGGTCTCGGTCTGAGTCCCGGTCTCGGTCTGAGTCCCGGTCTCGGTCTGAGTCCCGGTCTCGGTCTCAGTGGTTGTGTTTGTGTTGCAGAGTGGCGAGCCGGAGTCTCAGTGGGTGGAGGACATCCTGCAGATGCACACGGCTCGCGTGAGGGACATTGAGATCCTGACGGGTCTGGACCTGTTCAGATCCACAAACCTGACCCAGGTCCAGGTCCTGAGACTGAAGACCCGCATGCACACCTTCGAACCCGACGACTGAACACACATATTTAAACTACAAATGTAATAAAAGAAACTCACAAACACAAGTACTGAGAGAGTAATTCACTGGGAGAAGCACACACGGCGTCTTAAAGTGCACATGACAGTTTGGTTTTGACTTTTCCAATTTGGTTTTTTTTTTTTTAGATTTCAAATTGTACTTCCAAGTTGGGAATCATGACGTCACACTCGGAATTCCATAACTGTTACCTACCAACCACCGGGCTGCCCTAAAAAAACTCTTTCTTTTGTAATTTGTGGCAAACTTTTGGACAGAATTCCAAGTGTGACGTCATGAGTGAGGAACCACAGAAATCACAGAAGCCACGGAAAAGCCAAAGGTCAGAGGCGACTGAGCAGCAGCAGATTTGGTCCCGAGATGCAAAAACAACACAAAAACAGAGATTAAACTTTCTTTATTTGGTCATTTTAATGTTTTAAAAAACGAAGCAGAAAAACTGAGAGATGTTTCGCAAGTAAAGCTCAGTTACTCATTAACGATTTCATTTCGTGTCAGCAGAACGGAAATGTGAACATGGCCGTTAAAGCCAGTGAAGACACAACCGAAAGATTCAACTGGGAACAAAGAAATGTAAACGTACAAAGTCAACATAAAAAGACAGAAGGATTGTTACCACAGATCAGTCCTCTTCATCTACAAATGAGCTGATTCAATCTGTTTTCAGGCAAATCAAATCTTAAGTGTAGAAAACGTTAGTGGCCACTTCAATTATTCACACTGACATCAAGAAGATCTTCACCTCCTGATGGTCAGAGGAGGAGGAGAGGAGGAGAAACAGGAGAGAAGGAGGAAGAGGAGAAGAGGAGGAACAGGAGAAAAGGAGTAACAGAAGAGAAGGAGGAACAGAAGAGAAGGAGGAGGAGAGGAGGAGAAACAGGAGAGAAGGAGGAGAGAGGAGGAACAGGAGAGGAAGAGGAGAGAGAAGGAGGAAGAGGAGAGGAGGAGGAACAGGAGAGGAGGAGGAGAGAAGGAGGAGGAACAGGAGAAAAGGAGGAACAGAAGAGAAGGAGGAGGAGAGAAGGAGGAACAGGAGAGAAGGAGGAGAGGAGGAGGAACAGGAGAGGAGAGGAGAGGGAGAAAAGGAGGAACAGAAGAGAAGGAGGAGGAGAGGAGGAGGAACAGGAGAGGAGAAGAAGGAGAGAAGGAGGAAGAGGAGAGGAGGAGGAACAGGAGAGAAGAAGGAGGAGAGAAAGAGGAACAAGAGAGGACGAGGAAGAGAAACAGGAGAGGAGGAGACGAATAGGAGGAGGAGAGGAACAGGAGAGGAGGAGAGGAAGACAAGGAGTGAAGGAGGAGAGGAGCATAGGAGAGGAGGAGGAATAAAGGAGGAGATAAGGAGGAGAAGAGCAGAGGAAGAGAGAAGGAGGAAGGGGAGGAGGAGTCCACTTGAGGCGCACTACAGCTGCTCTGTGGATCGAATTCTGCTGAAAGTTGGTGCTACAAAAAAGTCTTCATATAAAACTCGAGATGTTCACAGAGGCTGTTGATAGAAACTCTGAACTCAGTGGAGAAGTGAAGTGACTCTCTGCTCTGACGGGACAATCCTCTGTGTCCAGTCCCAACATGGCGGCTGGAAGGTGCTCGGCAGGATCACAACCATGTGGCTTCTATGATTTCTGTGTGTGGAACTCTGCTGTAACTCTCATTTTCAACAGAATTTCAACTTTTCTTCACAAATTCCTTCTTGATTCGTGTTAAACCAGGCGTCTCCGACCTTTTACTCTTTTACAAAATCAAAATGCTAGTGAAATGCAGTGTATTTAAGAACCACAGCGAGAATTAGATGAGGTACAGCGTCTTTACATGATCTATTATTATATCATAGACATTTATTAGTGCCCAAAGTTAGAGATCGAATAATAATAATAATAAAAATACATGTACAATTCTTTCCTACAAAGGCAAAAGAGTTTAATTCTCCAGAGAGTGAAACTAAGAAAAATGACTTCAAAGTTTCTGTTTTGTCCAAACAAAAGTAAAACAGTCAGGCTCCCAAAATGTGACAAGCAGATGCTATAATGAAGAAATATTTGTATATAGAAAAATTTGACCTTTGACTTTATTTGTCAGTTCCTGTTCTCTGCTTTTTTATCATGAGCCAAAAATAAGGAGTCGTGCAAAGACTAAAGGAAACAGAGTGTGTTTTAGTTCATAAATATATTTTATTTTAAAATCTAACATTCAAATGATACTTCAGTGATCTTTATGTGAAAGTATTGTGTGTATTTATTCTGTTCACACTTTACTGTCCTACAAATGTAAAAGAGCTGAAAGTGTGAAACTGACAAAAATGATGTCAGAGTTTGAGTTTTGTCCAGACAAAATTAGAATAGGCAGAGCTCCAAAATGTGACAACTAGTTGCTATAATGAAGAAATATTTATGTGTGAAAAATATTGAGCTCACACTTGACCTTTGACGTTATTTGTCAGTTACTGTAATAAGGTTTCGTGCAAAGGCCAAAGGCAGAAACTGACCTGATCATGATTTGCTTGATTTTGCTCAGACTTCATCCATTCTAAGAAAAACATGTCACCAAGCTCCAGTCATCATGTGTTTGGAAATGATTTAGAAGAGTTTTGGATTTCCTGTTTAGTGTTGATCAGGATCGTGCGGCGACACTTTTAGTTTGTTAGTTAGACAGTTTAACACAAATGACAATATGCGAAGAATCCCTCAGTCGTCCAGGTAGAATCCACGGCGAGGAGAAAATTCAGTTTGACGACTGGACAAAAGTTAGTTTGGTTGAAGACGTTTCGTAGCTCACCCCAGCTGCTTCTTCAGTTCTGGTCAGAATGTCAGGGGCCACTCTTTTGAGGACAGCGAGGTACAGATTTTAGCCAGAGAAAAGAATTGGTTTGAGATGGGAGTGAAAGAAGCTATTTATGTTAAGAAACAGAATCCTTCTCTAAACAGAAATGGAGACTTAGACATCATCTATCTCCTATTTACAACTCCATCCTCAAACCTAAACCAAAACAAACAACAGAACAACAGGTGTATCCAGGTCAGGTCCAGAGGTGTGGAAGCTCCATTATGGACATGAATTGTTTTATTAATAATAATTACTGTATTTTCCGAGCTATTAGTTGCGCTCTTAAGCCTCCAACCCCATCAAAAAAACGACCGCGCGCCACAATCCAGAGCCACTATACACGAATCCACTCAGGTGTTCCAGCACGACTTGAGTAAACTACAAAGCCACAAACACACACAGAACACACAAACACACACGGAGCAGACAGCGACCGCACAGCCAAACACACCCACAGACACACTCATCACTCCACGCCGACGAGGAACGGAACGGAGGAACGAACCGAAAAAGTGAGTGCAATGTGCCACTTCTAGACACGACTGACCAACTGAGTCACTGCGAACACGCCGACAATCCGTTGGTCCCAGACACACACCCTCCCTACACGCCACAACTGAACAAAGCCCAGAGTCACCGTGAACGACACAGACAAACAAAACCACTCACCCATCACACTGTTGTGTTTCCTTTAAAGTCCCACGCGGTTTATTTGTGGAAAAAAGCTCGAAAATAGACCATTTAATAACAATGCGTCTTAAAATCCAGAGCACCTAATAGTGCGGAAAATACGGTAGACCTCACACCCAGTACAGGTGAATACAATGAACTAACAAACAGAAACTGTAAACAAGTGTGTGTGTTAGTTTGAGAGGAGTTTCAGTGTAGTTAGCTCCTCCCCGCAAACAGATATAAGAAGTGTCCACCAGTGTCTGACCAGAACTGAAGAAGCAGCTTGGATGAGCCGCGAAACGTCTTCAACCAAACTAACTTCCAGTTGACAAACTGAATTTTCTCCTCACCATTACACACAATACTTTCACTTTAAAGATCACTGAAGTATAAATGAATACAAATAAAATGTGTTTATGAACTAAATCACAAATAAAACACACACCATTTCTGCCTTTTGTCTTTGCTCGATTCCTTATTTTTGTCTCATGATACAAAGGCAGAGAACAGGAAGTGACAAATAAGGACAAAGGTCAATTTTGAGCTCAATATTTTTCACGTAGGAGCTCTCAAATACAAACAAAATGACGTGACTCATTTTTGACCAAACATATTACAGCATTCTGACTTTGTATCAAATTGTACTTATTCAGGACAGTACGTGTAATTCTGAAATCCCCTGGTGAGTTTCTTTGGAGGAGGTTGGAGATTCCTGAGTGAAACTAGATTTTATTCCTTTAAATGACACAGAAATGACAAAATCATCAGAACCTGTCATGTGCACTTTAAAATGTGGATTTTTTTTTTTTACCAGGTTCAATTCTTTTAATTTGAATATGTTTTTTTTTTAAGATGCTCTATGTAACTTTTCTGCTCGTCTTGTCGCTTTACCTGGAATGTCCTACAGTACGGCATTATCGAGCTCGGGTTTGTTGCCTCAGAATAAACATCCATTCTGACTGTGAGTGGCTCGCCTCTGCACAGATCTGACCTGTAACTTGGCCTATATAACGGAGCCACGTGCTTCACTCCACGGAGATGTCCAAAGCCGTACTGTGGAACATTCCGGGTAAAGCCGCTGTGTCAGTTACTGCTCCAATCACGTTAACACAAATATGTCAGATGCCCTCCCGCCTTCCTGAGTGTCAGATGCCCTCCCGTCCTCCTGAGTGTCAGATGCCCTCCCGTCTCCCTGTGTCCCTGAGTGTCAGATGTCCTCCTGTCCCCTAGTGTCACATGTCTCTGGTTCATCTGCAGATGTTGCGTTGCGTCAGATGCCCTCCCAGATGTCTTGGTGCTTGGACACATACATTTGGATTTTGTGTTTAGGGATTTTCACATTAGTGGTTGATGATTCACTAACAGCTGATGACTTCACATGGTGTTGAGTATTTAGCGAATAATGAGGCGTGCACAGAGCTGGGTTTGAGGACATATATTTTCATGTGAATCTTGATTTAGTTTTGTCAAATAAAAACAAATTAAAGCGTGTGCGGTGTCTTTCTTCACACGGTTGTCATTTTCCTGCCACTGATAAAGAATCCTGATCGTGACGTTCTTATATTAAACATATTAGATGAAGTTCTTGGGCGACACAGCTCTGGTGACGAGACTGACTACGGGAAAGAGGTCGTGCTTCTGACCACGTGGAGCAGAACCTCCACCCAACACCCGCCACTGACCATCGAGGGTGGTGCTGTGGAGACAATGAGCAGCTCTGAACTCCTGGAGGTGACATCAGTGAGGACCAACTCTGCAGCAATGTGAAGAAAAACCAGCAGAACCTCGACTTCCTGTGGAAACTCAAACCTCACCACCATCATGAGCACGTTCTATAGAACCACTGAGAGCATCCACCCACCCACCCACATATACACCACCCGCATATACACCACCCACATATACACCACCCACATATACACCACCCGCATATTCACCACCCGTCTCACCCACACATACACCACCCGCTTCACCTGCATTTACACCACCCACATATACACCACCCATTTCACCCGCATATACACCACCCACCTCACCCGCTGTGCCTGTATATACACCAACCTGCCACACCTGTATATACACCACCGAGCTCACTTGCACATACACCACCCACTTCACCTGCATATACACCACCCACATATACACCACCCACATATGCACCACTCGCCTCACCTGCATTTACACCACCCGCCTCACCCATATATACACCACCGAGCTCACCTGCACATACACCAACCAACTTACCCACATATACACCACCCACCTCACCTACACATACAACACCTGCCTCATTTGCATATACACCACCCAACCCAAACTCTCTCCCCTCTCTAAACACCAGGCGTCAGGAAACACAAATCTTTTTCTATTTCCTTTTATGAGATCATTATTTCATTTAGAAGATTGAGAGTGAGAACATCATTTCAATTGTTCATATGTTCATGTGGAACATGTGAAGAACACACACACCTACAGTCACCAGGACATCCTCTGCACAGATCTGACCCGTATCTTGGTCTAGTGGTATCTCCTGCTTGTTTCCATGGAGATTGTTAAATTTAATGCCATACTGTGAAACATGCCAAGACCAAGACCTTTAATGTCTCATTCTGTCCTGGTTTGACCTGAACAGAACCTGTGTTAATACAAACACAGTTTTATGTCTGTTCAGTGGAAAAGTACAAAAACCCAGGAAGTAGCACTGAGTTTTCCCTAAATGTCATCAAACCCATCTTTACAAGCAGTGAGGTTTATACATGGAGGTTTATGGCATAAACATGAGCAAGCAAGCAAGGTCTGGTCCTGGTCTGGTCCTGGTCTAGTCTTGGTCTGGTCCTGGTCTGGTCCTGGTCTACTGGTCTGGTCCTGGTCCTGGTCTGGTCCTGGTCTGGTCTGGTCTGGTCTGGTCTGGGTCTAGTCTTGGTCTGGTCCTGGTCTGGTCCTGGTCTGGTCCTGGTCTGGTCCTGGTCCTGGTCTGGTCTGGTCTGGTCTGGTCTGGTCTGGTCTGGTCCTGGTCCTGGTCTGGTCCTGGTCTGGTCTTGGTCTGGGCCTGGTCTCGTCCTGTTTATCGAGGTTTATCTGGAACACTAAAGTGACTAAAAGAATCATTCAGGACTTCCATCAAATGTTATCAGGAGTTTTACAGCTGTCATTAAAAAGGAGGGAGAGGAGGAGGAGGAGGAGAGGAATGGGAGAGGAGGAGGGCGAGGGGAGAAGTAGGAAGAAGAGTGAAGGAGGAGAGGAGTTGGAAAAGGAGGAGGAGAGGAACAGGAGGAACAGGAGAGGAGGAGGAGCAGAGAAGGAGGAGTGGATGAATAGGAAAGGAGGATGAGGAGAGAAGGAGAGAAGGAGGAAAGGAGAGGAACAAAAAGGGAGAGGAGGAGGAGGAGCAGAGAAGGAGAGGAGGAGGATGGGCAGAGTCAGGGAAGATTAGAGAAGAAGGAAAGGAGAAGAGGAGAAAGTGTTTAAAGCCTTCTGATGCTGTTTCCTGAAATGGTTTCCTCTCTGTGATCAGTAAACTCAGTAAAGGGTAAATACACTTTTGTTTTTGTTTTTGTTTACCACATTCACACGAGTCACAGTCTGGACTCTACACGAACAATCTACTGCACCAATAACACTCTACAAGTGATGTTAGGACTATTAGTATTAGTAACAATAGTAGCCATAGTAGTAGTAGAAGTAGCAATAGTAGTAGCAGTTGTAGTACTAAAAGTAGTAATAATGCTAACAGTAGTAGCAGTCGTAGCTTTAGCAGTAGTAGTAGTACTAACAGTAGCAGTAGTAGTAGTAGGAGCAGTAGCAGTAGTAGTAGTAGCAGTAGCTCAGTTGGTAGAGCATTCGCCCACTGATCTGAAGGTTGGTGGTTTGATTCCAGCTCTCGACATAAATATCACAGGTTGAGTGGTCAGATCCACTGACCCACAGGTTGGCTGGTGTGATTCCAGCTCCCACAGATGAATTGTGTCCTTGGGCAAGACACTTAACCCACCTTGCCCACAGTGTCTGCGTACACTGGTGTGTGAATGTGTGTGTGAATGTGTGTGTGAATGGGTGAGTGGTTCCTTGTTGTGCCTTGAAGGTGGAAAAGCGCTATAGAAAAATGTGACCATTTACCATTTTACCAGTAGCAGTAGTGTTAGTAGTTGTAGTAGAAGTGGAGTAATAATAGTAGTAGTAGTAGTAGTAGTAGCAGTAGAAGTGAGTAGTAATAGTAGTAGTAACAGTAGAAGTGTAATAGTAGTAGTAGTAGTAGCAGCAGTAGTAGTAGTAGCAGTAGAAGTAGTAATAGTAATAGTAGTAGTAGTAGTAGTAGTAGTAGTAGTAGTAGTAGTAGTAGTAGCAGTAGTAGTAGTAGCAGTAGTAGTAGTAGTAGTAGTAGTAGTAGTAGTAGTAGTAGTAGTAGTAGTAGTAGTAGTAGTAGTAGTAGTAGTAGTAGTAGTAGTAGTAGTAGTAGTAGTAGTAGTAGTAGTAGCAGTAGTAGTAGTAGTAGTAGTAGTAGTAGTAGTAGCAGTAGTAGTAGTAGTAGTAGTAGTAGTAGTAGTAGTAGTAGTAGTAGTAGTAGTAGTAGTAGTAGTAGTAGCAGTAGTAGTAGTAGTAGTAGTAGTAAGTAGTAGTAGCAGTAGTAGTAGTAATAGTAGCAGTAGCAGTAGTAGTATCAGTAGTAGTAGTAGTAGTAGTAGTAGTAGTAGTAGTAGTAGCAGTAGTAGCAGTAGCAGTAGTAGCAGTAGTAGCAGTAGTAGTAGTAGTAGTAGTAGTAATATTAGTAGTAGTAACAGTTTCAGTGTGTATTTGAGTGTGTTTGGCTTCACACTTCAGTCACACTTTACAGAAGCGTAAAACGTGAGGTTATCTGCGCTCGGCTCTCCACCAATCAGCTCTTATCTCCTGGTCACATGGTCCAAAGTCCACCTGAGACTCAGACCAGACCACAAGACTCAGACCGGGACCAAGACCGGGATCAAGACCAGGATAAAGACCAGAGTCTGAACTAATATCAACGCTAGGATCAAGACGGGGATTAGGACCAGGATTTAAACCAGGCTCTAAACCAGGACCAGGATCTAAACCAGGACCCGGACTGGACTGAGGACCATGGGGCTTCTCCAGGAGACTCGTAAGAAGAAAAAGATCATAGTGAGTATCTGGTCCGAGTCCTGGAAATGCTGTATCAGTTTGACTCTGCACCTGCCCAGACAGATGCTGCAAACACTGGTTACTACGGCAACGCAAATACTCTACACTTTAGTTGTACTTTTTAAACTTGTTTATTGTACGCTTTTTTAAGTGTCCACTTTTCACAACTTTCAGAGACCAGAGTGGAGATTTGCCGTGACGGTAATGCAACAACTAGCATGCTAACAGTGCACTACCTGTTTACGGGACCTCAAGAGCTGTTTATACAATCTATTTGTACTGAGGCAAGACACGTTTTGTTTAAATACAGAGAAGTGTGAATCATAACAGATGTGACTGTAATAGTGAATCAGCTTGGAGTTTATGGTCATACAGGATTTTACAAGACTGAAACTGAAATGATTGACAACAGTGTTACTGCTGACAGACAAACTTTGACTAATGCTGGACGGACACTGTGTGATAGTTTTGATTGTTTCACTCAGCTCTAGATGAAACTGTACGACCGCATATACACCACCCACCACACCCACATATACACCACCCACCACACCCACATACACACCACACCACCACACCCACATATACACCACCCCCACCACACATATACACCACCCACCACACACTGTATATACACACCCACCACATCTGTATATACACCACCCACCACACATATACACACACACATATACACCACCCCACCACACCCACATATACCACCCACCACACCCACATATACACCACCCACCACATCTGTATATACACACACCCACCACACCCACATATACACCACACCACACACACCACACATATACACCCACCCACCACATACACCACCACATATCACACCCACATATACCACCACCACCACACCCACATATACACCACCCACCCACCCACATATACACCACCCACCACATCTGTATACACACCCACCACACACATATACACACCACCCACACACCCCACCCACCACACACCACCACCACCACACCCACATATACACACCCACCACCACCCACATATATACACCACCCACCACACCCACATATACACCACCCCACCCACATATACACCACCCACACACATATACACCACCCCACCACACATATACACCACCCACCACATCTGTATATACACCCACCCACCACACCCACATATACACCACCCACCACACCCACATATACACCACCCACCACACCCACATATACACCACCCACCACATCTGTATATACACCACCCACCACATCTGTATATACACCACCCACCACACCCACATATACACCACCCACCACATCTGTATATACACCACCCACCACACCCACATATACACCACCCACCACACCCACATATACACCACCCAACACATCTGTATATACACCACCCACCACATCTGTATATACACCACCCACCACATCTGCATATACACCACCCACCACATCTGCATATACACCACCCACCACACCCACATATACACCACCCACCACATCTGTATATACACCACCCACCACACCCACATATACCACCACCCACCACATCTGTATATACACCACCCACCACACCCACATATACACCACCACCCACCACACCCACATATACACCACCCACCACATCTGTATATACACCACCCGCCACATCTGTATATACACCACCCACCACACCCACATATACACCACCCGCCACACCTGTATATACAAGGCAAGGCAAGGCAAGTTTTTTGTATAGCACAATTCGTACACAAAGTAATTCAAAGTGCTTTACAGAATAAGAAATACATTAAAATCATAATAAAAACAAATCAAAACATAAATAATCATGAAGATTAAAATTTAAAAAGAGAGACATAAATTGGAGAGAAGAGTGCGGAATGAAAACCTTTCAGTTATATGCACAGTTAAACAGAAATGTTTTGAGCCTGGATTTAAACAGCGTCACAGAAGAGTCTGTCTCACATGTTCAAGACTGTTCCAGGTTTTAGCTGCATGAACCTGAAACTCTGACTCCCCTTGTTTAGTCGTGACTCTGGGCACCAGCAGGAGGCCGGTCCCTGAGCTCCTCAGAGTGCGAGATGGTTCATATGACACTAACATGTCACAGATGTACTTTGGTGCTCGGCCATGGAGAGACTTGTACACAAGCAGAGCTGCTTTAAAGTCTATTCTCTGAGGCACAGGAAGCCAGTGCAGAGACCTGAGCACAGGACTTATGTGCTCGTACTTCCTAGTTCGAGTAAGGACCCGAGCTGCAGCGTTCTGGATGTTCTGCAGCGTCTCACAGCTCGTTTGGAGAGACCAGTGAGCAGACCATTACAGTAGTCTAACCTACTGGAGACAAAATGCATGGATAAGTTTCTCCAAGTCTGATTTAGACAGTAAACCTTTGATTTTTGCTATGTTTTTTAGATGGTAAAAGGCTGCAGATGTTATTGATTTTATGTGACTGTTAAAGTTCAAGTATTGATTTTATGTGACTGTTAAAGTTCAAGTCTGAGTCCATTATTACCCCCAGATTTCTTGCCTGATTTGAAGGTTTTAGAGAGAGAGACTGGAGGTGACTGCTGACACTGTCCCTTTGTTTCTGTGGACCAAACACTATGACTTCAGTCTTGTCAGAGTTTTAGCTGGAGAAAGTTGTTTTGCATCCACACACTGATCTGTTGGATGCAGTGACCAAGTGAGTCCACTGGTCCATAGTCTCCTGCTGCCAGAGAGACGTAGATCTGAGTGTCATCTGCATAATTGTGGTACGACACGTTATTGCTGCTTATTAACTGGCCTAATGGCAGCATGTAGAGATTGAACAACAGGGGGCCCAGGTGTCTCTATTTTAGTACTTGCCAACATTAAAGAGAGGCATACATTGACATTTGTTGAGGTAAAATACAGAAAACCTGCTTAAAAATGACCAAAACACAAAGACAATTGACTATACTGACTAACTCTAACCCTAAATTATGCACTCATTTCACATTTTTGAAAATATAGCCAAGCTAACGACAAGACTCAAAGTGAGGAGGAGCTTTCACCTGGTCCATCTGAAGGGAGTTTGTGGATTTGTTCAAGTTGAATTGCGTTTGCTTCCAGGCGGTGGTGTTGGCGATCTCAGTGGTCACCCTGATCCTTGGTCTCGGTCTGGGACTGGGTCTGGAGCTGCAGAGGTGGAAGGACAAAGGTGGGTGCTGTTGTGCTCTTGGGCAAGACACTCGCCCTGTTCTTGGTCTAAAATATGATGTCATAAGAGGGCGGGGTCTGTACAGCTCTGTGAGACATTCACTGTTTTGAAAGAAATCTCCAAACTTCTCATCCACAAATGTTCCTCCTTCTCATTCTTTGTTTGGGATCAACTCCATAAACTTGTCATATTCATCTTATGTCTTAAAGTCCTTTCACCTGAAACAATCAATGGCACCACATTCTGAATATCTTGCAGAAAAAATAAATAAAAATCTTTTCACTTTGTTTATTTCTGCAGACAGACAAGATGCTGAACTTTGTGCCAGTTTTTGTTTCATGTGGAAAGGCCCAGGAATTACAGAGATCTGAAATCTGACAGTTACACAGAAAACTGTACCTGAGAATCATCTTTAACGTTTTTGGCATCATGTGAGCACACTCTGTTTGAGTGAGTGACTTGTGGCCATTGGCACAGAATGGCAGCCGTGACTCTGTCAGGCAGCCCCAGGGCAGGTGAATGAAAAATGTAGTACTAAACACACGTGAGGGTTTAAAGGTCCTACACTGCACAAATGTGACTCTGTGAGGCTTTAAGACAGGGTTCTTCTACCTGTAACTCCACCCCCTTCCATGTAGCTCGCCGAGGAATTTCGGAATTCTATGTATTGGTCTATGGTCTTGCACGTGTGTGACTGAAGACAGGAGGTCACGTGATTTCTGTTTTTAAACTGAAGGGCACACGAGGCGTTCAGGTGCAGCTCATGTGACCGACATACGAACACTGCTGAACACTAACCCAGAGCTGCTTTACGGGTCATATCTCTGGAACTCCTGGACCTATCCACACGAAACACAAACTGACACAAAGATCAACGTCGTCTCTGTCAGTGGAAACAAACTGAAGTCAAATGACACACACACACACACACACAGTACTAGTGGTATATACAGTTGTGTGTTTTCCTCAGTGGTCCCTCAGACGTCCTGCAGGGGGCGCTGTTACGAGCCCTTCGATGGAGAGGTTCCAGGTTGTCGGTGCGATTCCAACTGCAACAACACCAACAGCTGCTGCTTCGACTACTACGATATCTGCACACAACCAGGTATCAATACTACTACTACTACTACTACTGTTGTTGCTACTACTGCTCTTACTACTGCTACTGCTGCTGTTACTACTACCGCTACTGTTATTACTACTGCTGCTGCTGCAAATACTACTGCTATTGCTGTTACTACTGCTACTGCTGTTATTGCTACTGCTACTGTTACTACTACTACTACTACTACTACTTCTACTGCTGTTACTACTACTGCTACTGCTACTGTTATTACTACTGCTGCTGCTGTTACTACTACTGCTGCTAATACTACTAGTGCTGCTGCTAATACTACTACTACTCTTATTACTACTGCTACTGTTACTACTGCTACTGCTGTTACTACTATTGCTGCAAATACTACTGCTGTTATTACTACTGCTGCTGTTATTACTACTGCTACTGCTGTTACTACTACTACTACTACAACTGCTGCTACTGCTACTGTGATCGTGACCTCTGACCCCGTGACCTCTGACCCTGTAGCGCAGCAGTGGGAGTGCACTCGGCTGCGCTGTGGAGAGAAGCGACTTTCCAACAGCAAATGTCACTGTTCAGACGACTGCGCCGCTAGCGGAGACTGCTGCACCAACTACAACAATATATGTAAAGGTACAGCGCCACCTGCAGCTTCAAAACACAACTACAACAATATATGTAAAGATACAGCGCCACCTGCAGCTTTAAAACACAACTACAACAATATATGTAAAGATACAGCGCCACCTGCAGGTTTAAAACACAACTACACAACCAACAGTTCCGACACGATGGGGCATGGAGCTTCAACAACCTCGCTCCTGATTGGCTCTGTAGTTGCTCCCAGATTTCCAGATATGGTCCTGTGTGGCAGATTAGCCACTATATCTGCTTTTTACAGTCTATTGGGTAACGGTACAGCGCCCCCTGCAGGTAAAATATTTATAAGCACATGTGCAGAGTCAGCATTATAAGCTAAAAAACTTAAGGGCGCCACACACTTCAGTCTTAAATGATTTTTAAACATGCGACAAAAAGCACACGAGGAGAATCTTATGAGATTTTAAAGTTTTAAAGTTGTGAGCGTGATGGAGTCAGCTGTTTCCTGTACAGTAAAACCAGTCACTCTGACACTCTCAAGTGTCCAAAGATCAGAGCTCTGCACTTCTAGTTTAGATACAAGTCAAAACTGTGTTATTATTATTTGTGAAATATGCACAAAACTTCAGATACAGGATTTTTAATGCATAAAAGATTGGAGATAAAGCCCACAGGAAGTAGAGTCACTATCAGTAATCTGCAGCTTCACCAATCTGTGTGCTCTGTGGATGTAAACAGACACACATGAGGAACCAAACTCACCTTTTTACTTTTTAAACAATGCCTCAAACTGGATTAACAGCTCAGTTTTGTTGACTGAATGTCATTATTTCTGGAGGAATTTAAATTTACCACTTGACGAGAGGTGAGTGTTAAAGTCTTCTCATTATTTTTGCTTTTTCTTGTGGTATTGTTGTATGATGCTCAGTCAGATTCTGACGCTCTGTTTTATTGGCTTTTACTGTAGTGTTGCTGATGTTTGGTGGTTATGATCTGACACTGACACACACACAAGGAGCGTACTGACTTCAAAATCACACAAGAAGACACAAAGTCAGGTCCACTGTTGGGCAAGTTACTTTAAAACTGTAATGTGTTATTTATGACTTGTTATTGTCATTTCAAAGTCATTTGTTACATTACAATATTACTGCATTTAAAATGTAAGGCATTACATTACTATTGCAGTACTTTTAAGTTACTCTCACCAAAATAACTGTGAAGATGCTGACATTTTTCAACGTACATGGATTGAACCGGGACTGAACCAGGACTAAATTAGGTCTAAATCAGGACTGAACCGAGGAGTAAACCAGGATTAAACTAGGTCTAAACCAGAGCTGAACCAGGACTGAACCAGGTCTAAACCAAAACTAAACCAGGTCTAAAGCAGGACCAAACCAGGACTAATCTTGGGCTAGAACTTGGAAGATTGCACCTTGCAGACACCCTGCAAGGTGCAATCGGGCGTCAGCTGCAGTTCGCCCAGTCTCTTGCATTTCACCGCTGCTGATATGGTGGTGATTTTAGTGAATTTGTATGAAGAAAACCCAGCACTTCAGTCCAGGTTAAAAATACATTGTGACACGCGTTACTCACATTTGTACCGAATAAAATATTACTTCTTTTTTTTTCCCTGTAATGCCTTACATTACTGCGTTACAGCAAAAAGCAATGCATTACTCTAATTCATTTGTTTTATATCATGTTACTCCCAACACTGGTCAGGTCCCCAAACTCAGGGAGAAACAAATCATAGCCAAAATCAGGCAAATTCTCCTGTAGTGTGTTGTGCCCTTTAGTCTCACTGAGAGGTTAAAGATTGTCTCTTGTAAAACAGCTCCTCATATTTCGTAAATGAACACACAGTTTTCACTCATTTAGTCAAATATAAAGTCTGTTTGTTACACTTCTCTCATTTGTCATTAAAGGGCCCATACGACACTATTCACGTCGATGTTCTAGTGTAGTTTCCTCCTCAAAAACAGACCTGGAGTTGTGTTTTGTTTCATTCACACACGTAACACACAAACCCTGCAGATTGAGACACTCTCTTCCACTTTGTGATGTCATGTGGTAATACAGGAAATACTCCACTGTATTTTTAAACTCCACACACCTTCACTAGAATCACTTGGATTATTTCAGCCCTGAAGGTAAAAGGATCTGTTCACTTGAAAACTACCACTACTATTTGAAAACTACTACAGTTTTGAGCTTTGGAGATGTAGACAGACTAAATAAAGAGTTACTCAAACATGTGTGAATGAAACAATCACAATTCCAGCTCTGTTTTTATGAACAGCAGTAAAACACAGCTTAAAGGGACAGTTCAGAATTTAAAATATATTTAACTTATTTCCTCGTGAGCCAGAGTGTTGGAGACGTGTGGAGACACTTTTTTGAAATATTCCATCCAGTCCTTGTATTTGCAGAGGTCGTTGGTGCTAGGCTAGTGCATGTCAATGGCCATAGTTAGCTTGCCACTATAAACAGTCTTACACACTCCACAAAACACTCGAAACAAAACTATTAATACACCAAACTGTCTGTGTGAATGTCTGTGTCCATAGAATAATTTTAGAAATAAAACTAACCTTGCATTTGAAGGATTTATGTCTGAGCAGCAGCAGTGAGTTGTACTTCCTGATAGAAAGCTCGGCAGTGGCGGACTGATATGTCAGAAAATAGTCCCTCAACATGCGACGATTCATGTGATGCAAGGTTAGTTTTATTTCAAACATTATTCTATCAACACAGACATTCACATGGACAGTCTGGTGTAATAATAAATTTGCTTTGGGTGTTTTGTGGAGTGGGAAAGTTTTGTTTAGTGTTAGGCTAACTGTGGCCATTGACATGCACTAGCCTAGCACCAGCGACCTCTGCAAACACAAGGACTGGACAGAATATTTAAAAAAGTGTCTCCACATGTCTCCAACACTCTGGCTCACGAGGAAATGAGGCCCTATATCTAAAATTCTGAACTCTGAGTCTGAGTCAATGTATAAGCTTTAATGTGGTTTTGTGCAGGAGAGAAGCTGTGGGTGCAGGGCGACTGTGACGACCTGTCCTCCCCCCAGTGTCCACCAGGGTGAGTCATGACCCCAGCACAGACAGTAAAAGAGACAGTACGGAACCTGGCTTTTGTTTATTTTAGTTCAGAAAAACGGCTTTTACAACATACAGTTTGTAATAAAAGAAGTGATGAAAACAAGTCTGAAAAAATTTGCCTGTAGATGTGTCCTGAACCTTATCTTGGTGTCGTCATGGAGATAGATAAGCTCAATGCCATACTGTGGAACTTTCAAGACAAAGCAATGACAACCAAATGACGAACCTTGTACCAGAGAAGTTACATGTGCAGCTTTAATATTCAATGAATCCAATTGTCATGACAGTAGATTGTACGTTTCCGTGGATAATCACCAGTTAGTTACCATAATTACACTTAACTTTATTTTACTGTGAATTGAATGTTTTTAAATATGTGTTTTGTAAAAGCCGAACAAAAATCAGACTGCTGCATTCTGTTTTCATCTAACTGTAAAACATTTTATTGATCACAAACGCATAAGAAAGATCCATGTGAGTCTCTATATGACTCTTTGTGCTGAGAGCTGATGGGCTGTGAGGCAGATTTAAATCCTTCTTCTTTTTTCAATTTGAAAATCAGATTTCATGTTTGTTTTTCTTACATTTTCATTTTCTTGACTCGTGTCAGGTTTTCAAAACAGCCACTGCTCCTCGTGTCTCTGGACGGATGGAGAGCCGAGTATCTACAGAGCTGGAGCAAACTGGTACCAGTGATCGACAAACTGCGTAAGACCAGGACTAGATCAGGACTAGACCAGGACTAGACCAGGACTAAACCAGGACTGAATCAGGACTGAACCAGGACTGAACTATGACAGAATCACAACTACACCAGGACTAAATCAGGTCTGAACGATGGGAGCTCAGAGTAGAGCAGAGGTTGTACATTTGTTCCGGATGCCTCCTGGATGCTTCCCTGGAGGCCTTGGGGATGACCCAGGCTGGGGCATGCCTTGTGGCCCCCTTAGGGGCTGGAGGAAGTGTCCGGATTAAGGGCCCCCAGTGGAAAAAAAATTGATGGAAAAACTAGGACTGAAACAGGACAAAGGATGAGGCTATTTAAACATATTTCTAATATTTTCTTTTGTTTCTTTTATATATTTGTGATTTTCAGAGAAGTGTGGCACCTCGGCTCCGTTTATGCAGGCGGCATTTCCCAGCAAAACTTTCCCCAACCACTACACCATAGTTACAGTAAGTCTGACCTAATACAACCACTACACCATAGTTACAGTAAGTCTGACCTAATACAACCACTACACCATAGTTACAGTAAGTCTGACCTAATACAACCACTACACCATAGTTACCGTAAGTCGAACTGACACCTTGCGCGTATTGCCTTCAACATTCCCTAGGGCTGTGATTCTAACTGTAGGCACTCCTCAGTTATTTTAACACACTCTGAATATAAAGACCTGATTTAGTTGAACTACAACAGATGAGCATTTGTGTTCTTAAACAAGTCCCTCTGAAATAATAATACAGTTACAAGCTAGCTAGTCTTAGCCAACAGTTTTTCCAGTGAGTCACTGTCACCTTTTAGATGAAAGTCAAACTCTTAAACAGGACGCTGAATGCTCGCGCTGATCACAGGCTCCTCAAAATGTGCTCTTTAAATCCATATTGTATTGTATTGTATTTTAGAGGATCTTAAAACTGTTTTGACAGTGTTGGCTAATGTGTTAATTGTGTCTCCATGGTAACCGGTGAACTTTACACCATAGAAATACATGTAGAACACCCCCAGTGTGCCCCAAGTATCAATACGGCCAACACACCATAGTTACCCGTAAATCTAATCCTGCAGCCACAGTTGCCATATGGTTCCCTGTTTAATAGTTTAGTTTTGGTTTAGTCCAGATTTAGTCCAGGTTAAGTCCAGGTCTAATCCTGGTCTAGCCCTGGTTTAATCCTGGTGTTCTCCTGGGACAGTCCTTGTTCAGACCCATTTGGGGCTGGTCTAGTTTAGTTTAGTTTGGCTCAGTACAGCATTGGTCATTTGGCAGAGCAATGTCCACCAACTATGAGACAATCCTCTAAAGTTGTGGCTTATTTAAAAAAAACAAAAAAAAAACATCTGCATCTGCGCACACCACAGACACAAGAAGATTCTTACAAGATTTTAAATCTCTGATTGCAAAGACTGCAGCGGGATCTGACCCGCCTAAAAGTTGTGAGCGCACCTCACGTCAGTAGTTTCCTGTCTACAGTAAAACCAGTCGCTCTGAGACTCTTAAGTGTTCAAAGATCAGAGCTCTGCACTTCTAGTTTCAATACAAGTCAAAACTGTTTTTATGAAATATGGTGCAGTATTTGAGATCATGACAGTTAATGCACAGAAGGCTGGTGATAAATGTAGATGTAGATGTAGTATGACTAATCTGCAGCTTCACCTTGACCCGTGTGCTGTGTGGAGGTAAACAGACACACGTGAGGAACCAAACTCACCTTCTTGATTTTAAAAACACTTCAAATTGGATTAACATCTCTGTGGACTGGATGTCATTATTTGTGGGGGGGGGGAATTCTAAGGACAGTATGGATGATATGCTGCAAGTTTAACTCTACATCTTTACGAGGCGTGAGTAATAATTATTTCTGCTATTTCCTGTTTGTATCTTGCGTCTCTGTGTCTTATTATTATATGTCTTGTTATTGATTGTTACTGTAGCGTTGCTGATGATCGGGCAAATTCTCCAGCAGTGTGTGGCGGCCTTTAGTTTAGCTTCAAGAATTTATTGAAGGGCCAGTGTACAAAGACACTAAGCTCATAAACAGAGATGTTCTGCACCAGATCAGAGCTTGACAGCCTGTTTCCACCTGCAGAAACTGATTTACACACATACATGATACATTCTGACAACAAAATGAACTCTCTGACCCAGCCCCATTACACAACCACTCCATCAGAGTTTTTATAGTTGTTGACAAAATACATAGCCGCAATTTTCTTTACAATTAATGTGAGGCATGAATCATGTAGGCACCTTGCTTCCTTCTCCACAGCTGCAATGAGTTTAGAGGCTCCCTGGTGCGAACACGAGAATACGTCGTGCACACAGAGGACAGGTGCATTATGTAGGGGGGAAGAGCAGGGGGCCCATGTTTGAGCCTTGTGGCAGTCCAGTAAACGAGTGGCTCCTGCAGATGAAAAAGTGAAACTAATTAAACATGTTAATATGTTGAATATACTGTAGCACTTTTAAGAAACACTACCATGGTGATCTAAATATGTTTCATGTTACATTTAAACCACGGAAAAGTGTCATTCCCCCTTTTTAAACAAACCAAACAGACCTCAGGACATGACTGCACATCTGAGACGTCACTAAGCACATGGTATATTTACAGTCAACACAACAGCCCCAAGTTACAGGCGTCTGTCTACACAAAGCTTCATCTCTGTGGGTGGCAAGTAGTTTGTTTTAAAATAAATCTGTCCCATTTTTACTGTAATTCCTCTTTAATCTACTTTACTCACTCTTTTTTCCATTGACATTGTTTTTGTTTATTTTTTTTAAGCTCAGACTCAGGTTTATTTAAGTGTGACTCACTTGAGCTTAATGATGATTCTTTCTTGTTAAAGCTTGTTAATCATCATCATCATCATCATCACCAACTCATTAAAAAAAAAACACACACGGTCATCCATCCATTTTCTTCCGCTTATGCTGGGCCGGGTCATGGGGGCAGCAGTCTAAGCCGAGACTCCCAGACTTCCTTCACCTCAGACACGTACTCCAGACATTCTCAGGCCAGCCAAGAGACATAGTCCCTCCAGCGTGTCCTGATTGATTGATTGATAGCATTTATATAGCGCCTTTCAGTTCATTATTCAGTCACTCCACACTCAGTGGTCGTAAGCTACTACTGTAGCCACAGCTGCCCTGGGGCAGACTGACGGAAGCAAGGCTGCCTATCTGCGCCATCGGCCCCTCCGACCACCACCATCACTCACGCTCACACCACTTTCATACTAGGCAATGTGGGTGAAGTGTCTTGCCTAAGGACACAACAACAGTTTTTTTGTTTTTTTTGTTTTTTGCCACTGGCGCCCCACTGTGGCACCTGGAATTCTTAGAGGTCTCCCATCCAAGTATTGGATGCTTAAGCCTGCTTAGCTTCTGAGATCTGACAGGATCAGGCTTTTACAAGCCGGTATGGCCATGGTCCTGGGTCTTCCCAGGGGCCTCCTCCCGATGGGACATGTCCGGAACACCTCTCGAGGGAACAGATGCCCGAGCCACCTCAACTGGCTCCTCTCCACGTGGAGGAGCAGCGGCTCTACTCCGAGCTCCTCCCGTGTGACTGAGCTCCTTCCCCTATCTCTAAGGGAGCGCCCAGACACCCTGCGGAGGAAACTCATTTCGGCCACTTGTATCTGTGATATTGTCTTTTCGGTCACTACCCAAAGCTCATGTCCATAGGTGAGGGGGGGAAAGAAGATTGATCAGTAAATCGAGAGCTTCACTTTTCGGCTGAGCTCCCTCTTTACCACAACGGTTTGATACAGCGACCACATCACTACAGACACTGCACCGATCCGCCTGTCAATCTCACACTCCATCCTCCCCTCACTCGTCAACAAGACCCCGAGATACCTGAACTTGGAAGAGCTGATTCTCATCCCAGCCGCTTCACACTCGGCTGCAAACCGCCCCAGTGCACATTGCAGGTCCTGGTTCGATGAAGCCAAGAGGACAACATCATCTGCAAACAGCAGAGATGAGATCCTGTGGTCCCCAAACCGGACCCCCTCCGGCCCCTGACTGCACCTAGAAATTCTGTCCATAAATACAGTGAACAGAACCGGTGACAAAGGGCAGCCCTGGCGGAGTCCAACATGCACTGGGAACAGGTCTGACTTACTGCCGGCAATGAACACAGCTCCTGCTCCGGTCATACAGGGACCGGACAGCCCTTAGCAAAGGGCCCCGGACCCCATACTCCCAGAGCACCCCCCACAGGACACCACGAGGGACACGGTCGAATGCCTTCTCCAAGTCCACAAAGCACATGTGGACTGGTTGGGCAAACTCCCATGAACCCTCGAGCACCTGATGGAGAGTGTAGAGCTGGTCCAGTGTTCCATGGCCAGGACAGAAACAACACTGCTCCTCCTGAATCCAAGGTTCAACTATTGGTTGGATTCTCCCGAGTGCCCAAGACACGCAGCCGGAGGTCAGATGACACGACGACAAAGTCGATCATTGACCTCCAGCCTAGGGCGTCCTGGTGCCACGTGCACTGAGGTTTCGCAGTACAACAACGGAGTCCCCGGTCGGTGCAGTGTCTAGTAACCCTCCCAGGGACTCCAAGAAGGCCGACACCACAGTGAGAGACCTGTCCCCGGCCCAAAGGCGCAGTGATGCGACCTGTGTGTGGAACTCATCGTGTGAGGCTTCTGAACTGCTCTTGGTCTGATCCGTCCCTCAGGACCTGTGTGCCTTGGATGACCCTACCAGGAGCATGAATCCCCGACAACATAGCTCCAGGGATCATTCGGGCTCAAACCCCTCCACCACGATAAGGTGACAGTTCAGGGAGGAGACACACTTCATACTTATGTCATACTTATGATTTTACAAAAGACTTTCCCCAGTTTGGAAATAGTTTAGGTTTCAAATTTTTCTTCTTGGTTTTAAATCGTGATCTCCCACTAGAGCATTTTATAACTGTCACCTAGCAACCATGTTGCAGAGTACGCCTAAACTATCTGAGAAATAAAAATAGAAAGAAAATGGAAACATGAAATAATGTTTCAAATATACCAGAAAAAATAAATTTAAAAACATATATATATATATATACATATATATATATATATGTTTTTTTTATTTATAAAAATATATTATTTCTTGTGTAATTGTGCTGAACTTTTGGACAGAATTCTCCCAGTGTGATGTCATCTGTTTATCTCTACTTCCTGTCCATTTTATAATATTTATATTTACAACTATTTTATCCCACTAAATTTCCCACTAAATTAAGAAAATTAGAGAATCATCCAAACCTGTCATACACACTTTATATCCTAAAACGTTTTGCCAATAAATAAACAAAAATAAAAGCATGTTTTCTTTTTCACTGTGGGATTTAGGCTGTAGTATTCCACAGTATGGTATAAAATGTATCTATCTGCATAGAGAATGTTCTGAAGTATGACTTTAACTTTCTGTTTCTATGGACTTATAAGGTGATGAGTCACCCCCAGAAAGTTACACACTATCACCTAAAGCTCTGACAAGGTCTTTAAACTATGTTACACTTTTCTTCTTCTCAGTGACCGTCTCGAGTTGTATTTAGGTCGGGTGACCATATTTCCATTTGTGAAAACCAGGACACCTTAGTGTGGTCAGGCCCTTCAATACTGACAAACATGAAATAAATGATACTCAAAGTTACTTTACTCAAAGATGCTTTACACTTTCTGTTATGAATGAATGAAATAATGTCTCACCTATATTAGAAAAATAAATAAATCATAAATAATGAAAAAAAAACTCGCCTATATTAACAATAACTCTCACCTCTCAATAACAATATAAACTACTCAAAGTTAGTTTACTCAAAGATGCCTCATCATTTCTGTAATGAACAAAATATATCCATCCATTTTCTTCTGGGTTGTGGAGGCAACAATGGAATGGAATACGATGAGTGAGCACAGTGCCCTCGTGCTGCTCAATTTAATGGCCCAATTAAAGGTAATGAAAACCCGGACATTTACATTACTTTATTTAAAAAAAAGTCCAGGACAGTACGTGAAAAACAGACACGTCCAGGGAAAAATGGATGTTTGGGCACCCTAATTTAGAGTAATTCATGTCTGAGTAAACTTTATTCTCCTGTATTCAAGATGTCACATGGTTATTTTGGTACAAAACATGCGGCACTTTGTTGTCATGATGATTATGCCCACGTCAGCTTCCACTGGACACCACAGTGCTCCTCCACAGGAAGTCAGCACACTTGTTTCGTTTATGAAGTATTTTTATTATATGATATTGTGATTTTAAAAGTCCAACATAATGATCCCCAGGGCTCAGACATTATAACTATAGCACAGACACAAACACAGTAAGTCTGATTTAGACTAAAGGAGACACATTATTGTTACTGTTTATTTATTTGACTTTGTCCCACCTTGAGTCTGATGTTAGGCTCAGAGCTCAGACAGGCTTAGAGGTGGTGAATGTTGCAAACCACAAAAATGAAATGAAATGAAAATGAAGTCAAAATGAGGTAATTTGTGGTTATGCATCTGGAGATTTGGTGATTCGTCATTTAGGCCGTGGAGTTTCCAAAAAAGTCCACACATAAAATAAAATATGGCAGTAAAGGAGACATTGTGTGTGCTGTAGTTCAAATCTATGACAACCATGGATCATTTATAATCACAATGTTAATCTAAAACCACTTAATAACAGAAACAGGTCTACCGACTTCCTGGTTGGAAAACTGCAGAGTCCAGTGAGGGATTAGGAGCTGATTCCCACCTGTCCCTTGACCTTACATTGTCATCATAGACTGTGTATATAAATGGAGCTAACCTGCTACCTGCCACATTCCAAACAGGAAGTGAACGTGAGGCAGTGTTTGGCTCTATCGACTCTTTTTGTAAAAATATGAACATTAGTAAGAGAGATTCTTTTCCTGAGTGTCTGGATAGTGTAAGCAACAGGTTTGAATGAATGAATGAATCAATGCCTTTATTTGTCAATTTCTTCATATGTACAAGACAAACAAAAGAATCTAAATTGGAGCTGTCACCCCATCCGTACATTTACAAACATATAATACATCACATGGTGTTAGACATGGACCGGACTGAAAGACTGGGAGCAAAGGAAGAAAACACAGCAACATAACATGAGGATAGGGGAAGAAGAAAACAAAAGAGAACAGCCCCCAGAGTGTGTCCCTTACAGGAGCATAGTATGTACAGTACATAAAAAAAAAAAGAAAGAAAAACTAAGAAAAGAAAAGAAACACCACTGAGACATCAGCACATGATCAAGACACAGTATAGACATAACAACTAGACTTACACCTAGGGTGGAGTTGACCCAACATAGACAAGCAGCCGTCTGGATCCTGCAGCCACGTGGAGTTGGATACAACAGAGCCGCCCGCCGTGCCGGGTGGGGCCCACTAAACCAGAGAAGTGATGGGAAGGGGCGTGACCTTCAATAGCCTCTCTCTGGATTGGCTCTTTGGTTGCTAGGATACATGTAATCAGAATTCCAGATATAGAACTCAGCTCTAGAATAGGCACTCTAACTGCTCACTCTCATTTAGTCCACTTCTTTAGTCTGTGGTCTCAGCAAACATCATGACAACAAAGCGCCGCCGAGTAGAACGTTTTTGTTTTTTTTTTACAAAATGACTACACGATGCTGCTGAATTCTGTATGTAAGGTAAAGCTACTAATAGCTAGCATGCTAACCCTGCACTTCCTGATGTTTATAATTAGATGGAGACAGTATGCCGTGCTTATATTGACCTCCAGAGCTTCTTGTACAGTATGTGTGTCCTGGGGTCAGACACGCTCAGATACATGACAGGAAACAGGTCGAGCAGCACCGAATCACCAGTACTGTCTGAACATGTGTACTAATACTTTAAGTACTACATTCGTCCTTTTCAACACAAATCCTGTGCCCAGGGCCTGTACCCCGAGTCCAACGGCCTCATCGACAACAGCATGTACGACCCGGACATGGACCTGTCCTTCAGCCTGTCCAACAGCCAGAAGGACAACCCCGCCTGGTACCACGGACAACCGGTATATACTACTACTACTACTACTACTATTACTACTACCATTACTACTACCACCACTACTACTACTGCTACTGCTACTGCTACTGCTACTACTACCACTACCACTACCACTACCACTACCACTACCACTACCACCACCACCACTACTACTACTGTAACAATTCACCTGTTCTCGCCAAGAGAAAAGCTACAACGCTAAATTAAGGTCGCGGGAGGATCCATTCATTCAGCGGGATGAAATAACGACATGCAAAAAATAAGTGCTTTGGCCTATCTGGCGTTTATTGGCATTGCCAGACACGAACGAACACGGCCACACCAGACACACAATACCCCCCAAACACCACCCCGCACTCGAGCGCCCAATCCCCAAAACCCAGACACAAAACCCAAACCCCAGTGCAACAAAACAATAAACAACAGTTCAATATAGTCCACCACCCACAACAGTCCCGAGCAACTTCCCCCCAAAAGTTCCCAAAGTCTTCCCCCCCGCTGCGCGGCAGCGTGACGTGAGACGGTACAGTTTGCGATTTACTCACGCCACCCGCGCTCCGGTTCTGACGCTCAGTCCAGCAGCTCCCGTGGTAAAATAAGATTCCAGCACGATTGGCAACGCGATAATCCAAATATGCAGCGACAAAATTCCAATAGCGTGGTCCCACGGCACCGACAGCTCCTGGCAGGCGTCCAAAACGGCGTGTGACGTCACACCTGTGCGCGTTCCCGCGCGTGCGTCCTTCTCCCCTTAAATCCCGGTGCGTCCGGGGAGGGCGCAATAAACAGATATCGCCTGAAACAATGACATTTACCCACAAATAAAGGACCATACACAACAGAATAATGTTAACAAATAAGAATTTCACCCAACTGAATGAATAGATAAGGGTGAAGACCTAAGTGGTCTTTACACTACTACTGCTGCTACTGCAAATACTACTACTGCTACTGCAAATACAACTACTGCCACCGCAAATACAACTACTGCTACTGCAAATACAACTACTGCTACTGCAAATACAACTACTGCCACTGCAAATACAACTACTGCCACTGCAAATACTACTACTGCTACTGCAAATACTACTACTGCCACTGCAAATACTACTGCCACTGCATATACAACTACTGCCACTGCATATACAACTACTGCTACTGCAAATACTACTGCTGCTACTGCAAAGAATACTCCTGTTAATTCTGTTAACACAACTGCCACAACGTGTACTAACCCCACCTTGTACCAGGGACAGCAAGTACTACAAATACTTCTATTACTAGTACTAATATTACTACTACTACTACCCCCTAGTATCATGACCAGGACTAAACCCGGTCTAAACCAGGCTTAAACCCGGTCTAAACCAGGCTTAAACCCGGTCTAAACCAGGCTTAAACCCAGTCTAAATCCAGTCTCTGTGTCAGGTCTGGCACACGGCCTCGTATCAAGGTCTGAAGTCTGGGACTTTCTTCTGGCCTGGATCCGACGTCAAAGTGAACGGCAGCTTCCCCGACATCTACAAACCCTATGACGGGTAAGACTGCCTCTCCCCAGACGCTTCCCTCTCCTCCCACTCCCCAGACGCTTCCCTCTCCTCCCACTCCCCAGACGCTTCCTTCTCCTCCCACTCCCCAGATGCTTCCCACTCCCCAGACACTTCCTTCTCACATGGGGTATATTTCCCTCCTGTGGGGGTATTACTTGCAAACACAGAGCATGTTTAGATCAGCATGTTATCTTTCATCATTTACAAAGTGCCAGATTTGCCCAAAACAACGCATTGACATGTTTTATATGTTTCATTTATTTAAAAGTCGCTCCCCCTTCAGAGCGCTATCACAACCCGGTGCGTCCCACTAATGAAACTCCTGCACATCACATCAGCTTTGTCCTGTTGCTGTGGACAGTTTTGTTTAATATAAATATTATGAAATAAATACATATTTGCTTTGTGCGCTCACTATCCCCAGACGCCTCCTCTCTGTTTATTTTTTAACACTTATCAGTCGTTGAGGTGAGCTGATTTTAAATTAGATTATCATTATCATAGTTTGAGTGTAATCAGTAAAACTCAGGAGAAGAATTGTGCTGCAGCTCAGAAGGAGCCTTATCAAATGTCCACGTTCTGCAGTGAGCTGATGTCAGAGTTTCAGCTGGAACAGGGCCAACAAAACTCTCCAAACTTCTGATTCACAAATGTTCCTCCTTCTCATTCTTTGTTTGGGACCAGCTCCACAAACTGTTTTGTTGTTTGGTTTAAACTTCTTTCTCCGGAAGCGTTCACGTCTTTGGGCTTGAATATTGGCTCCACTTTCTGAAGCCAATGTGGAAAAATAAATTTACAAATCAGAACTAAGCCAGGTCTAAAACCAGGACTAAACCAGGACTAAACCAGGTCTAAACCGAGACTGAAACAGAATTTATTGTTTTTGCAGTAAAGTCCCATTTGAAGAGAGAGTCTTCACTGTTCTGAAATGGCTCCAGCTCCCAGCCGACCAACGGTGAATACAATTACATGACATGACATTAAATGACATAACATAACATGACATAACATGACAAGACTTTAAACAGTTGTGTTCTTTTCTTGTATGTCCAGTCCCGACTTCCTGACGTTGTATTTAGAGGAGCCTGATAAATCTGGACACAGCTATGGTCCGGTCAGTGGAGGGGTAAGTCCAGTGTCTGACCATAACCTTAATCAGGTAGTCACTAAGTCTGAGTCATTCTGTAATGAAAGATTCTGTGAGAGTGACTCACTGAAAAACTATTGGCTAATGCTCGGTAGCTACTGACTGTGATGTTATTTGAGAGGGTCTTGTTTAAATGAGCTCAGGTGTTGTAGCTGCAGCAAAGTCACTTTTTGTTGTGTGGAAACACAGATCATATTAAGTCTAACTTGAGTCACAGCGCTTCAGACAGAGCAGTGTCTACAGTTAGTATCACACCCCTGGGAAATGTTGATGACATCAACTGCAAAGTATAAATTCAAATCTGTGTACCAGATTTTTACCCTGTTAAAAAGATGAAAAACAGAACTAGTTGAGGTGAGACAGTTACAGTGGTCCAGAGTTCTTCATCACTGACCTTCTGTGTTCAGAACATCCTCAGGGATCACCATGATGACTTTATAAACTGCACAACTCCCACAGACCAGAACAGAGTTTTGATATAACAGTAAATCTAACATCAACTAGCATGTTAACACACACACTTCCTGATTCTCTGACAACAAAATGCTATATATATATATATATATATATATATATATATATGTATATATATATATATATATATATATATATATATATATGTATAAATGCTTTGTATAATTAGATGCAGATGTGATTCAGCCTCATTGGCTCCGATTCACTTTCTACTGAAAATGATCCGGGAGTTTGTATATCGCTACTTTGTCCCTATCAAGATCTGAACATTCATCCTGCTACAGTCCGGGTGGGAGGGGGCGTTATGTTCAGAAGCCTTGCTGCTGAATGGCTCTTTGGTCGCTTTTTACACTAGGTCAAAATTCCAAATATGGAACTTGGCTCCAAATTTGCTCCTATAATTGCCAGCCTCAGTGAGCTTCATTTGACTGGAGCTGAACACTGTGGGTGACGTCCTCCCTCAGTCCACTTCTTTCTACAGTCTGTGCCTCTGATATAAAGTGTGTGTGTTTGGAGTCACTGCGTTTGGGGAAAATGGAGCCTCTGATGCGTCAACAGAAAGTCTAAGAAAAGCTGGATGTGATTTTTTGTTAAATCAATCTTTGTCTGTGAAAAGTCTGTTTTTTATGGAAACCCATTCCCCCAGTAAATACAAACTAAAAGCCTCACAGAAAGTCTTAATTATGAGTTTTCAAGGTTGGGTCTGAAGCTGCTCTCCCCATGCAGCACGTGGGCTGGTGCGACCATTTTCCTGGAAAAACCCTGTATGAACCCCCTGCAAGGAAAACTTGTAGTTATTTTACTAATTCACTTCACATCCATCCATCCATCCATTTTCGTCCGCTTATCCGGGGCCGGTTCGCGAAGGCAGCAGCCTAAGCAGGGACTCCCAGACTTCCTTCACCCCAGACACGTCCTCCAGCTCCTCCGGGGGGACCCCGAGGCATTCCCAGGCCAGCCAAGAGACATAGTCCCTCCAGCGTGTCCTGGGTCTTCCCCGTGGCCTCCTCCCGGTGGGACATGCCCAGAACACCTCCCGAGGGAGGCGCCCAGGAGGCATCCGGAACAGATGCCCGAGCCACCTCAACTGGCTCCTCTCGACGTGGAGGAGCAGCGGCTCTACTCCGAGCTCCTCCCGTGTGACTGAGCTCTAAGGGAGCGCCCAGCCACCCTGCGGAGGAAACCCATTTCAAGCGCTTGTATCCGCGATCTCGTCCTTTCGGTCACTACCCAGAGCTCATGACCATAGGTGAGAGTAGGAACGAAGACTGACCGGTAAATCGAGAGCTTCGCCTTTCGACTCAGCTCCTCTTCACCACAACGGTCCAATACAGCGACCGCATCACTGCGGAAGCTGCACCGATCCGCCTGTCAATCTCACGTTCCGTCCTTCCCTCACTCGTGAACAAGACCCCGAGATACTTGAACTCCTCCACTTGAGGCAAAGACTCTCCACCCACCTGGAGAGGGCAAGCCACCTTTTTCCGGTCGAGAACCATGGCCTCGGACTTGGAAGAGCTGATCTTCATCCCAGCTGCTTCACACTCGGCTGCAAACTGCCCCAGTGCACATTGCAGGTCCTGGTTCGATGAAGCCAACAGGACAACATCATCCGCAAACAGCAGAGATGAAATCCTGTGGTCCCCAAACCAGACCCCCTCCGGCCCCTGACTGCACCTAGAAATTCTGTCCATAAATACAATGAACAGAACCGGTGACAAAGGGCAGCCCCGGCGGAGTCCAACATGCACCAGGAACAGGTCTGACTTACTGCCGGCAATGAACACAGCTCCTGCTCCGGTCATACAGGGACCGGACAGCCCATAGCAAAGGGCCCCGGACCCCATACTCCCAGAGCACCCCCCACAGGACACCACGAGGGACACGGTCAAATGCCTTCTCCAGATCCACAAAACACATGTGGACTGGTTGGGCAAACTCCCATGAACCCTCGAGCACCTCGAGAGTGTAGAGCTGGTCCAGTGTTCCACGGCCAGGACGAAAACCACGGCCGAATTCTCCTCTCCAGTACCCTGGCATAGACCTTACCGGGAAGGCTGAGGAGTGTGATCCCCCTATAGTTGGAGCACACCCTCCGGTCCCCCTTCTTATACAGAGGGGCCACCACCCCGGTTTGCCAGTCCAGAGGTACTGTCCCCGACCGCCACGCGATGTTGAAGAGGCGTGTCAGCCAAGACAGCCCCACAACATCCAGAGACTTCAGGTACTCAGGACGGATCTCGTCCAACCCTGGAGCCTTTCCACCAAGGAGCTTGCCAACCACCTCAGTGACTTCGGCCAGGGTGATGGATGAGTCCGCCTCCGAGTCCCCAGCCTCGGCCTCCTCCTCGGAGGACGTGACGGTGGGATTGAGGAGATCCTCAAAGTATTCCTTCCACCGCCGGACAACGTCCCCAGTCGAGGTCAGCAGCTCTCCCCCGCACTGTAAACAGTGTTGGTGAAGAACTGCTTTCCCCTCCTGAGGCGCCGGACGGTTTGCCAGAATCTCTTTGAGGCCGTCCGATAGTCCTTCTCCATGGCCTCCCCGAACTCCTCCCAGCTCCGAGTTTTTGCCTCCGTGACCACACGGGCTGCAGCACGCTTGGCCCGCCGGTACCCGTCAGCTGCTTCAGGAGTCCCCCGAGCCAGCAAGGCCCGATAGGACTCCTTCTTCAGCTTGACGGCATCCCTTACTTCCGGTGTCCACCACCGGGTTCTGGGGTTTCCGCCGCGACAGGCACCACAGACCTTACGCCCACAGCTTCGAGCAGCTGCATTGACAATAGAGGCCGAGAATGAAGCCCACTCGGACTCCATATCTCCGGCCTCCCCCGGAATCCGGGAGAAGTCCTCCCGGAGGTGCGAGTTGAAGGTCCCTCTGACAGAGGGCTCCACCAGACGTTCCCAACAGACCCTCACTACACGCTTGGGCCTGCCAGGTCTTTCCGGCTTCCTCCTCCGCCAGCGAACCCAACTCACAACCAGGTGGTGATCAGTTGACAGCTCAGCCGCTCTCTTCACCCGAGTGTCCAAGACACGCGGCCGGAGATCAGATGACACGACTACAAAGTCGATCATCAGCCTCCGGCCTAGGGTGTCCTGGTGCCATGTGCACTTATGGACACCCTTGTGCTCGAACATGGTGTTCGTTATGGACAAACTGTGACTAGCACAGAAGTCCAATAACAAAACACCGCTCGGGTTCAGATCAGGGAGGCCGTTCCTCCCAATCACCCCTCTCCAAGTGTCACTGTCGTTGCCCACGTGGGCGTTGAAGTCCCCCAGGAGAACAACGGAGTCCCCGGTCGGTGCACTGTCTAGTACCTCTCCCAAGGACTCCAAGAAGGCCAGGTACTCAGCACTGCTGTTCGGCCCGTAGGCCGACACCACAGTGAGAGACCTGTCCCCGACCCGAAGGCGCAGGGACGCGACCCTCTCGTTCACTTCACACTGTATCTAAATTATTTGCTATGTGCTCTGATCACTGAGCAGCCCCAAGTATCCTGTGCCAAGTGCAGTGACTTTTAAACTCATGATTATGATTAAACTTGTAATTATGACTTTCTGTGAGGCTTTTATTTTTTTATTTACTGGTGGAAATAGGCTTTCATACTTTTTTGCTCTGGCAGCTCAGGTTGTTTAAAATGGAGTCATGGCTGTGATAGAATGTTTTCAGAAGTCTCCTTATTTAGCCTTTACTTGTCTCTAGGAGTGGTCTGTATCATTGGGTTTCAGATTACAACATCCTATATTCTGCAGTGACATCATGAGAGAGAGAAAATGTCTTGTTGGGGAATTGAAAATAGTGTGAGATTGACAGGTGGATCGGTGCAGCATCGGCAGTGATGCGGTCGCTGTATTGGACCGTTGTGGTGAAGCGGGAGCTGAGTCGAAAGGCGAAACTCTCGATTTACCGGTCAGTCTACGTTCCTACTCTCACCTATGGTCATGAGCTCTGGGTAGTGACCAAAAGGACGAGATCGCGGATACGAGCGCTCGAAATGAGTTTCCTCCGCAGGGTGGCTGGGCGCTCCCTTAGAGACAGGGTGAGGAGCTCAGTCACACGGGAGGAGCTCGGAGTAGAGCCGCTGCTCCTCCACGTTGAGAGGAGCCAGTTGAGGTGGCTCGGGCATCTGTTTCGGATGACTCCTGGACGTCTCCCTCGGGAGGTGTTCCGGGCATGTCCCACTTGGAGGAGGCCCCGGGGAAGACCCAGGACACGCTGGAGGTACTATGTCTCTCAGCTGGACTGGTAACACCTCGGGATTCCCCTGGAAGGGCTGGAGGAAGTGTGTGTGGAGACGGAAGTCTGGGAGGCCCTCCTCAGACTGTTGCCCCCGCGACCGACCTCAGTTAAGCGGAAGAAAATGGATGGATGGATGGGAAATTGAAAAGTGAGAGTGACTAACTGAAAAGTTACTGCTGATGCTGCTTGGCTTGTGACTGTAATGTTATTTCAGAGATTTGTTTAACAGGACAAATCAGCTCAACTGTTGCAGTTCCAA